CAAAAATTATTCTGTTTTGAGTTTTAAAACAATCATAAGAAATTTTTTTTTAAAAAACAGAGAAATCATTAATATAAAAAACGGCTACAATATTATACAAAATTTTGGAAAATGACAATTTAATTAAGAATCTGATCAACTCAAAAAATAAATTCTCAAATTTCATAATCTTTAAAATCGTGGAATTTTTGGGTTTCAGTATACTCAAAAATTTGAGAAAATACTGAAATTAGTTGATAAAATATAAACAGTAGATAAAAATGACTTTATTTCACTAAACGATAAAAGACTACTTTATCTACTGAAATTAGTAGATAAAAGCACTCTTTAACAAAATAAAAAGAATTAACGGAAAAAATAACAATAAATTAACAAAAATTATTCTGTTTTGAGTTTAAAAAGAAAAAGAAACAGAAATCATCAATATAAAAAAACGGCTAAAATATTTGGTATACAAATTTTGGAAAATGACAATTTAATTAAGAATCTGATCGACTCAAAAAATAAATACTCAAATTTCAGAATCTTTAAACTGGTAGAATTTTCAGGTTTCAGAATATTCAAAAATATTAAGTATTACATTTTTTTCTTATTTTTCAATTTCGCATTGAAAAGAAATGAGACAATGTAAAATGAAAGAAAAAAAAAGAGAAAAGAAAGAGAAAGTCGTAAAAATGTAGTTATAAGAAAACGTATGAAAAAAAGAAACTAAAAAAAAAGTGAAAAATTTATAAAACAAGAAAAAACATTCGCAAAAAACAAAAAAACATAATAAAAAAGTTGGTAATGTAAACATGAAAAATAAATAAAATAAAATTTACTCAAGTGAAGAGAAAGTTACAAGTGAAGAAAAAATAACAATAAATTAACAAAAATTATTGTTTTGAGTTAAAAAAAATGATAAAAAAATAAAAAGAAACAGAGATCATCAATATAAAAAAAAACGGCTAAAATACAAAATTTTGATCATCTGTTCAACTCAAAAAATAAATCCTCAAATTTCAAAATCTTTAAAATCGTATAATTTTCAGGTTTCAGGATATTCAAAAATATGAAATAATCCTTTTTTTTAGAGAAAGTCGTAAAAAAATATAGTTATAAGATAACGTATTAAAAAAAGACGCCAAATAAAATAGGGTAAAACTTATAAAACAAGAAAAAACATTTATAAAAAAAAGAAAAACATAAAAGAATTAAAAATGAAAAAATAAATAATAAATAAAATAAAATTTACTCAAGCGAAGAGAAAGTGCACTAAAAAGAAATAAACAGAAGGAAAAATGACAATAAATTAACAAAAATTATTCTGTTTTGAGTTTAAAAAGAAAAAGAAACAGAAATCATAAATATCAATATCAATATAAAATAACGGCTAAAATACAAAATATATTTGATAAATGAAGAAAAAGTGAAATAACATTCAAAAAATTAACATGAATAAAAATAGCTTGTCTTCTTTTTCTTCCTGTAATTCTCTTATTTTTGTACATTTTTTATAATTTGTTAATCATAAACCAGTAGCTAGAGAGAACGAAAAAGTGTAGCAGAAATCTTAGTAGAGTAAGAAAAAAGCAAAACAACTGAAAATTATAAGAATTCAAAAAACAATTACACATCAAGTGCGTGGCATGGCTTACTCTGACCAACTTTTACAAATCTCGACTTCGTGTTTGTTTTTATGACAGTCATCAATCATAGGCTAATTTGAATAAACTACATTCAATGTAATATTTTTTCTTACAAAACTGTTGAAAACGACAGGTGATAGTTAAATAAAAATCTCGAAACGAGGTTATTTGAGATAATTTAGCTGTGCAATTAGTGACAGCAATTAATTACGATTAGATTTGAAGCAGAAGCGCAATTACGTAATTGTAATAGAAGATGAGACAAGTTTTGTTTTCACATTGTAACATGTAACACAGTTTCATTGTTATCCAAATAAGTATCAAGAAGTCGTGGTAAACATTTTTCACCACTTTTGTCGTGAGAATGAATTTTACTACCGGACAAAGCTTTCAATCGTAGAAGGCCGTTTAGTGTTTTTTTTTTGTTTTTAAATTTGTGATGCGTGATTGTTCTGTCATAACTCAGGATGGTTATTTGAAATTAATTAATTTAGCATTTCTCGCTATTATCCTTCCATTTATTGTGACAAGTAGATGATGGAGCGTCAAGTATAGGAAAAATATTTCTTCATTGAAGAAATGTCAAATATGGAATTTGCGCAAATATCAAACTGTACAATGCTAATGGACATGGGATGAGCAGCGATGAATGGATTAATAGACGGCAACGTTGCAAAATGTGAAGAAAAGAGAGAAAAAGTGTAAAAAACAGGCAATAAACAAGATAAAATTGTTCTCTGCTTTTTTTCTTCTTGTTTCTTCATTAGATCTTCTTTCTTTTTTCTCTTATCGTTTTAAATGCTCTCATTTTTTTATTTTTTATACTTTTTCTTATTTAAATTAAGTTATTTGACAAGAAAATATGTACAATGTGTTTCTATAACTTCTTCTTTTTTTATCGTTATATTTATCACTTTCTCTTCACTTCTATTTTATTATTCTTCTTTCTAGATAAGGGATTCTTCTTTTTATTTCAGTTTTCTTATAACTGTATTTTTTCTACTATTTGCTCATTCTCTCTTCTTTTTTTTCTGTACATTTTTCTCATCGTCATTTTCTTTTTTTTAGTGTAAAAATTGGCAATAAAAAAGTATTTTCATTATTGTCTATGTGTATTTTATTTCACTTTTTCTTCATTTATTAGGTATATTTTGTATAAGCACAAAATGTTTATCAAAATATTTATTAAACAAAAAAGTAATAAAAGTACCACAAAGGAGGATCGCAAAACTTGACGTCAAGTTTAAAATTTGAAAAAAAATAGATATCAAAAGGGGGCCTAATTTCATTAAGAAATTAATAAAAATTATAAATTACAGAAAATAGAAAAATAGCCTTTAAGAGGGCCTCGGAGGCCGTGAACAGTTTTTAGACAAAAAAATTAAAAAATCATAATCTCAAATAAATTTACATAGAAAAAAATAAAACAAAATACTTTAGGCAGGGGCTTGTGGGGCTTGAATATTTAATGTTCTTATTTAAAAAATATAGAAAAATAATTATGATACAAAAATACAAAAGATATTTTGATGGTGCGGGGCTGATTTTTTTATTAAAATTTTTAGAAAAATTATTACATTTTTTCGTCAAAATTAAAATAAAAAAAGTTTTTTTTTAAATTAACTGAAAATTCAATATATTAAAAAATAAAAAAATGGCAAATTACAAAGAAAAAAACAAGACAATGGCAGAAAAAAAGTAAAAAATATTTACTAAATAAAAAAAATAATAAAAGGACCACAAAGGAGGGCTCGTGAGACTTGGTGTCTAGTTTAAAATCTGGAAAAAAATCAGGAAATAAAAAATTGCAAAAATTGGGGCCTTATAGACCGTGTAATTCACCAATTGAAAAAAATAAAAAAACATTATGCCTTCAACAGTTTTCCATAAAAAAAAAATGATGAGCAGCGATGAATGGATTAATAGACGGCAATGTTGCAAAATGTGAAGAAAAGAGAGAAAAAGTGTAAAAAAACACACAATAAACAAGGTAAAATTTTTCTCTGCTTTTCTTCTTTTCAATCTGTTTCTTCAATAGATTTTCCCTTATCGTTTTAAACTTTCTCAATTTTTTATTTTTTATACTTTTTTTTTATTTAAATTAAGTTATTTCACAAGAAAATATGTAGAATGTGTTTCTATAACTAATTTTCTTCATCTTAAAATTGGTATAACTTCTGCTTTTTTTATCGCTATATTTATCACTTTCTCATCACTTCTATTTTATTATTGTTCTTTTGTTTTTTTCTTAATTTTTTTAGATTCTTTAAAACATTCTTCTTTTTAGATAAGGGATTCTTCTTTTTATTTCATAAGTTTTCTTATAACTATATTTTTTTCTACGATTTGCTTATTCTCGCTTTTCTCTACGTTTTTTTCTCATTGTCATTTTTTTTTTCAGTGTAAAGATTGACAATAAAAAAGTATTTTCATTATTTTGAATCAAATTTTTTAAGTTTTTTCTTTTGCTCTTTTATTTCACTTTTTCTACACTTATTAAGTATATGTTGTTTTCTTTTCTCTGTTTCTTTATTTTTCAGTCCCTTTTTTTGATTTATTTAAAATTGAATGAAGGTAACTTTTGTCAATGTGTCATTTTTTCTTTTGCTTCTTCATTTTTTCCTTTTTATTTTATTTTCTCATCACTTTTACACTTCTTTTAGTAAGTTTTGTTTAATTTTTTTCTTAGTTTTTTTATTTTTCTTCTATTACTCTATTTAATCTATTATTTTTTATTATGTTATTTAATTTTTTTATTTTTTTCTTGCATTTTTCCTTCTTTTCTGAAACATTCTTTTAAACTTGATTTTTCTGTCTTTTTTCTGCTCGTTTCTTCTCATTATTATTTAACACAGCCTCTTTCTTTTTTTTTATTGCAAAACTTAATAATTGACAACTAAGGAAAAATTATTTTAATTTTTTGTGTGTTTTACATATTTAGTTTTTTTTTATTTATTACACTTTTTCTTTTATTATGTTTTAAAATTTTAATTTACTTTTATTATAATTTGTTTATTACTTTTATTGGAAACGACGCGACGTCTAAGTTTCTTTATTTTTTTAGATTTGTCTCAGTTCTTATTTCTACTTTTTTCTTATTCCGCCTTTTTTTTTGTTTACATTTTTTGTTCTATGTACATTTCCCCGTAATGCTCTTATTTTTTGCGTTTTTTTAAAGACTGACTAATAAATAAATGGAGCAAAAAAGAAGAAAAAACTAATTAAGAAAGAAAAAAGAATACAAACAGATGAAAAGAAGAAAAAAAAAGTATAAACTGTAATGACAAAAAAGAGGACTAATAACTAAATAAAAAACAAGAAAATCTGTTCAGAATTGGGTCACGTGATTGAAAACCAATAAAACACTCGAAATATAATATAGAACAAATTTATTTAATTAATTTAATTTAATTTTTTGTCTCCTAAATTCCATGGAAAACTGTGCCAACTTATAGCTGAAATACACAACCCCAACCACAATCCCCACGACTGCAAACACGACATCTACCAACAAATATTCAAACCACGAGATATCAGCACTGGGGCTCCTCAAATGCCTCGTGCCCCCATGTCTTATCACATATTCCGACCAATAAACGGCTTTCTCCAACCCAGACATGGGTTTATCGAACAAAATTTTATTCACTTCCTCCATTCTCCTCCTATATCTAAAATTACAACAATTAAGGTCAATTAAGGTCATTGAGGTCAAGGCCGACGCACTTGTTATTTTCAACGACTTCTATGATGCTTTTCTTCAATTGTTCTTCGGTCAAAGTGGCGGGATCCACGCCCAGACCGATGCCCAAATTGACGATTTTTTGCACGTTCATGGGTTGGTCGCCCATGAAGGGCATGCCCACGAGGGGGACTTTCCGGGAAATTGCCTCTTCGGTCGATTGGAGGCCCCCTTGGGTCACAAAAACGCGCACGTTTGGATGGGCTGGAAAATAAATAAAAATAAATTTAAAAATCCAGGGGGTGAGGGTACCTAGGACGTCTTGTTGGGGCAACCATTTGCGGATCACTACATTGGGGGGCTTGCCGGGTAATTGGTCGGCTTCAAATTTCCATAAAACTAAATAGGGGAGTTGCGAGAGGGCCCCCATGATAGTTCTTCGGAGCGTTTCGGGGATGTTGACGCTTTTGACGTTGGAGCCCAGGCTGAAGTAGACGACCCCCTGGGGGGAACCGTCTAGGATTCTTTTCAAGTCCTGGAAAATTTTTGTCGAAAAAATAGATAACAAAAAATTAAACTAAATTATTATCTCTAGGGGGGGCTTAAAAGGGGCTTCAATTTTATCTATAAAAAAATCAGAAATAACATTTTAGGAGAATTAGGGGACCGTTTAAAAAAGCCATTATTACTTTTAAAAATTCAAAAATATTTTGACGGTCGGGGATGATTTTTTATTAATAGCTATTTATTCAATCCTCTAAATCCTTAAATTTGTAATATTTTTTCAAAAATATCATCTAAAACATTTAAAAAGATGATTAAAAAAATTACTATTTTTATTCAAGACGATAAAGGAATTGTTTATCTACGAGTGAAAAGGTTAAGTTTACGAGTGGACTTTTTTCACGAGTAGATAAACAATCTTTATCGTCGTGTTTAATATTTCGTTTTATTTTGTACTCACCTACCAGAATTTCTTGAATATAAACAGTAGATAAAAATTACTTTATTTCACTAGAGGATAAAAGACCACTTTATATACTGAAATTAGTTGATAAAATATAAACAGTAGGTAAAGTTACTTTATTTCACTAGACAATAAAAAACTACTTTATCTACTGAAATTAGTTGATAAAAGCACTCTTTAGCATTCAGTACAAAATAAAAAAATATATTCAAAACATTAATTAGATGTAACTGTTTCAAAAAAAGTCATAAAAAACAAATTAAATAAACTACATGTAAAAATGAATATTTTCTCATAAAAAAAATAATTTAAAATTCAACGTAATAAAAAAAGCGAAGAAAGAAAAAAGGAAAAAACAAGAAAATGGAAGAAGAAATAGAAAAAAGCCTAAAATGTTTGTCAAAATATTTATTAAACAAAAAAAGTAATAAGAGTACAACAAAGGGGGCTCGTAAAACTTGACGTCAAATTTAAAATTCGAAAAAAAAATAGTTATCAAAAGGGGGCTTAAGTTTATTAAAAAATTAATAAAAATTATAGATTACAAAAAATACAAAAATTGCCTTTAAAGGGGTTTCGTGTAGTCTTTAGACGAAATATTAAAAAAATCATAATCCCAAATGGGGCTTAATTTACAAGAAATTTACATAATTTTTTTTTAATACTTTAGGCAGGGGATTGGGCTTTAATATTTGATGTTCTTATCTAAAAAATATGAAGGGCAGATTTTTTTTATTAAAATTGTCAGAAAAATTGTTACATTTTTCATCAAAATTGAAATATTAAATAAAATTAATAAACA